CGGAAGAGTAACTTGCTTGCTCAATAGAAAGATGGAAACTGAATTGGCAAAGGCAATTCAATATGCCATGGTAACCAATCAACCACTCACAACCATTAACGTGGAGAATGCCTCAGAAAATCTTGAAAGAATGAAGGGTGAACAAGCAAGAAAACGACAATTGAGAAGAAATTCCTACGAGAAGAGATTTAGAAATTCTAGAAGTGATAATAACAATTATTACCAAAAGGGTCCAATCAGTATTAACAATCCAAATAGAATGTCCAAGCTCTCTAATAAAAAGAATTACTAAGCCATTAATAATTTTAATACATTATAGAGAAAGCAATCTAATGTTTTCCGAATGGTTGTGATTCTTAATACTGATACAGTTGTTGAGACTTCACACTTCCTTAACCATCAAACCGTCAATTACGGACTCTATTAAGGAAACAACATTCCCGCTAAAAGAACTTGTGCAACGCGTGTTTACATTAGAAAGAAGGTTCTCCCGATTTTCCTTAGCACAACGGTGGTTTTTTTTATTACCCATCAAGGCCTGTCTTACGTGATGTTCAAATGCTGTTGTGGTGGTTGAAAATTAATCAAAAAGAAAAACTCTTATTTTTTCTTCGAAGAATTTATGCCCCCACACAATAGTAGCCGAAGAGATAGTATTACATCGAATCGGGGCTCGCCAATGAGGCCAACCGTCTCCCTCTCCCCTCGACTCTCAATACCATCAGCACATACTATTCAAATTCCCTATGATCCCAATGAAACTTATAATGTTGTACATATACCGACTCAAATAGCCCTCTCTCCTCGTTCTGATCATTCTTTAAGAAATTCGTTACACGCCTCTACACTTCGTGCCTCAATGAATAATAATAATAATAATACACTTCGATCATCAATGAATGGAACCAATACGCTGAGAACATCAATGCAAGGAGGAAATACAATGCTCTCTCGATCGATGGATCTACAACAACAACAACCAATTAGCTATGTTAGTAGCAATAATAATGTTATTCTAACTTCCAGAATGGACACAAATACATTCAGAAGAAATTCTGGAACCTCCGAAGATGAAGTTATCTATGTAGATAAACCTCTCGTAATGACAACAACAACAACCACCAACACTCCGTCCTTAATTCTCTCACCAAATTCTGTTAGTGTTGGAAATGTAAGCGATTTTTCTGGAGAAAGACAAGTAAGGAGAGTTACTTCGATA